CACGAGGGAGAGGTGTTCGTCCAGGATGGCTTGCGGGTCCTCCTCGTAGCTGCCGGCGGGCAGGAGCGAAAGCGGGTGCTGCTGGTGCTGAGGGTTCATCACCTCCCGACCGGCCTGCACGCTGGCCAGCAGCTCCGGTCCCTCCTTCTCTTCATCCTACGGGTAAAGCACCAACATGGAATAACCACCAGAGCATGGGACCTCCCCATGGGCTCCCAAACCTCCCTCCTGCCTCGCAGCACGAGCGATCCCAAGGCTGCATGCAAGTCGCTCAGCTTCGAGAACGGAAAACGCATCCCTCCTCGGCACTAAGTGCTGGCAGGCTCTTGGCCGCCACCGCGGCCACCACAGCAGCCCCTCAGCCCTGGCACCGCGCAGGTTAAGCCTCCTACCTCTTTGATTTGCTGCAGCCTCTCCTCCAGGCTGTCCATATGCTTTCTTGCTGCTGTTTCAGCTTTTCCAGCCGGGAAATGAGTTCGGCAGCGAAGGTGGCCGGCTCCACCGGGGTCATCTCCTTGGGGAGACGGTGGGTTCTCTACACAGAGCGGGGACAAAAGGGACAAGCCATGCTTAGCGGGCAGGGCGAGACGCCGGCGCTGAGCCGGAGCAGCATTTCTGGCCCCGCTACGCTTGTTGTGTCTCCATGTTTGGATGAAAAGCCGACCGCGACCAGGCATGGTCTGCTCTGGATTTTTATGAGCTAGCGCCGCGGCCTCATGGAGTGACATCCTCCCCACCAGCGTTTGCCTTCGGCAGGAGCAGTTGGTCGCACTCTGAGGAACCCCGCTTGTTCTCTCTGTAGTACAACCAGCCCATCAGTAGCTACTCTGAAGTAGAAAAACTTCAAAGACTGTTGTCAAACATCAAAAAAAAAAAAAAACCTCTGAGGTGGGAGGGAGAGACTTTAACTCAAGGAATAAAGTGAGTATAAACAGAAAGGAGTTGGAAATTAAAAAAAATAAGATGGGGGAGAAAAAGGGAAAGGGAGGGAAGAAGAAGAAAAAAAAAAAAGAAGTCAAACGGTTGCAGATCAGAGAAGTGCTGGTAATTTATTTCCTGGCTACACACTGGGCACCTTTGAGGTAGTGTTGTCTCAACAGTGTCCTAGATCTTCCCCCCCCTCCCCCCCAAATCTCTTTGTACAGAAAATGAAGAAAGCTGCTGCAGGCTAGCAGTGGTACACTGCTGAGCTTGGCTGCCTCGAGCAGATCTATCAAGGGAAAAAGGGAACATCTCCAAATCAAGTGCAGAATATAAAAAGGCAAAACGAGAATTTCTGCCAAAAGCAGCAAACATGGTAGGGAAAAAGGAAAAAAAAAAAAAAACAGAAAAAAGAAAAAGAACCCACCCACCGGAGGTGAAAACCATCCATATGGTGCCTTGAATGAAGCCACCCCCCTCCTCTCGCCCTCGCCCCTACTTTCTCCCTCCCTCTTTTTTTCTTTTTTTTTTTTTAATTTTTTTTTTGAAAGCAGAAAGCTGAACTGCCAACTCTTTCACATACTACCCACCAGATGAGGTGGGGCCTCTCTCCGGCAACCACTTAGCTCCAGAAATGATGTGAGGGTAGAAAAAGGCCACTCTGCTGGAAATTGTCACTCTTACACAAGCTGGCTCTATTCAGTCCCTGATCAAAGCACTGCCTTACAGAGAAAGTCGATTTGCACGCCCTGGGACAAAATAATCTAATTTACAAGCTCAGGCTATAGAACTTTCTTTATGGAAAAGGGGAGGAAAAAAAAAAAAAACACACACACAAAAAGAAAAACCACACAAACCAATGTGCCCCCCCCACCAGAAATATCATCTCTGATTCCTCGCTGCTTAAGACAGCAGAAAGAGGAATTCTAGCAAATTAATCTCAAGACAAGATAAGTTCATACTTGTCTGTGTAAACAGTTTATTCGCTGCAGGAATCAGGAGTCTGCAAGTCAACTGAATTAGCAAGTCAGCGAGTTAATTTTCACGAGCAAGGCAGCTCCGTGACTCCGATCGCCTCCGAGCAGGGCACAGAAAGTTTTGAAGGCACACGTTTCCTACAAACGCTCCTCTTTCGGGAGGCCAGCAGATCCTACTTCCTGCCACCTTCCAAACGGTGTGCTTCTGAAGCCCCGGAGCCAGGCACAGCTGGCAAACCCCGAGTCTCCTGGGCGCAGGGACACGTCAAGGTGGTGCCCGGCTCCCAGGGACCCAGCTCCAGCACGGGCTCCTGCCCCGCGGCCGGCCAGCTGGGCTATCCCTGCCTTGAATGCCAAGCCGGAGGCCAAATCCAGTGCCTCGGAAAACCCCTAATTAGCACCCAACTTGCAGGGAATGACCAAGTGTGACTCTGCATAAAGAGGTTTTTGCAAGCAGGCAAGCACCCTGTTCATGGGTGCAGCGAACGCATGGTGAACGCCGCAGACACCTTCCTCCCGCTGCCTTCCCTCCACCTGCACCGATGCCCCAGGTCACCATGTCCCATACATCTCTCACTGCTTCAGGGCCCGGCACAGGCCCTTGCCTATGGCCAAACGTCGACCCCTCAGCTAGCTCGTGAGCGCACTTACCGGAAAATGAGGTAGAGAAACTTGACCGTTGGCCTTAACGCTCCGATGCATCTCCCTCTGGAGCTGCTTCTTGCTCCCGAGTCTGTACGGAGGGATCCCATCCCTGGTACGAGAGAGAGGCACCGTCAGCAGGATGCGCGGGCTCTCCGAGCGCAAACCGCAGCGCCGCACAGCAGCTGTGGCCACAGTCCAGTTTATTAGTTTGATTTCAATCATCTCAGGTTCTAATCAAGCCATTTCTCTAAAGTAATCTAAGCACACTACAGGCCCACCATATAAACGGATGAGCGGTAGCTAAGTAAAGGCTGAAAAGCAAGCTGAAGGCAACGCCACCATGGGAAGACACCCAGAAGATCCCATTAGCCTCACTTGGGAGGCATCTTGCCGAATGGACCTTCCAGCGCTAGGTTTCTGCATCCGCCTTTTACACGCGCCATGATCATCACTGCTGAGTTAAGCCCTTTAAGGCTGCCACTTTCCTCTAGCTCTGAAACACTGCATGAGATGCCAGCAGGGAAACAAGAAGGAAGAGGCTGAAGACGGATGGCTACCAAAAGTCTGTTCCCTCTCTCTAGCACTACTCAAGATCGGAGAGGTTTCTCCTGCCCTGTTGGCAAGCACAGGCAGGCCGTTGCAAGGCGCAAGAGAATCCAGGCCATGCCCTCAGGGGTATGACGATTCTCCCCTTGGCCACATCGGTTCCTTGCGAGGAAGCCATGAGAACAAACCAGGTAGGGAGCACAGGTGAGAAAAAGCACACGGCGCAGCACGCTCGAGGCAACATGGCCTGTTTTCATCTGACCAGGCAAAAAAAATTACCTTTGCTAGGATTAAAGGGCCTTCTACACACAGTGGGGACAACCAGAAGAGCATGCCTGGAAATCCTGCATGTCTAATTCCACCCCTTCTCTCAGACTGGCTGAATAACCTTGATCTCTGGTCCAGTCCCTTTTATCCATCTGCCCCCACATCTTACTCATCTCCTGAGCGGAGAAAACAGCTCCCATCCTTTCCAGGGCTGGAGGACGCCAGCAAAGGCTGACTTGAAAGAGCAGGCCCTGCTCACACAGGGCCGGTGCCAGAGAAGACAACATCCCATAGCGTTCCTCCGCAGCACGCCCCATGGCCTCGCTGACACACGTATGCCCAACTTCTGGACGTACAGCTGGAGACAACCTATAAGAGAACGACTCCCAGGAGATGCCCGGCCCTTTCTCTCGCGGCAGAAGACCAGACCCCTCCACTTGACACTCCAAGTCTGAAGCATGCCATCTTGGGCCTTCGTGAAGATCTTGGCCGAGCTTTTAGCTGCCATTAAAGAACGACTGCTTTAATAAGCCAAACTGAGTTGCAAAGCCCAAAGGGAAAGACCAGAACAATTTACTTTTAATAAACTTGGAAAACAACCTTGGGTGGTGGAAGAGACCAGGACTACAGAAAACGCACTCGATGCCACTCTGTGCACGCCGGCCTCCTCCGGCCGCGGGTCTCCGAACCCACCTTATGTCCCTGAAAAGGGGAGCATGAGGCACCAGCACCCATCAGGGAGAAGCAGGCCGGTTTCTGCTCTTTCTCCATCAAACCACTTCTGTTATAACCCTGCCTTGACAGCAGAGTTTTTACAGCTTGTAACAAAGTTTGCAGAATTAATGAAAAAGGAGAGGAAGAAAAAAAAAAAAAAGGAAAAAAGACATTTCACTGTGATGGGAAGGTCACGGAGGGGAAAGTCAGTCTAGAGAGCAAGGAGGAAATTTTACAGCCAGTTTGTTGCCCGCTCTCTAAATCCGGGCCTTCCACATAAAACGAGGGAAAATGGCCAAGGCCAGACTTCCAGCAGGGGCAAGAGCTGAAAAACGGCTGGTCACCTGCTGCGGGACGGACAGACAGATGGAGCTGGAGTTTGCTGCCGGGCTCGGTACAACGAGAAAGAGATATTAGGGAGGAAGGGGGGGGAAAAAAAAAAACAAACGATGCCAGTACAGAGAAGGAGAAAACGCCTTTAGACTAAAAAACGCTCGAGCCTGGCCAGCGGCGTCAGCGCCGGGCCGGGACCGCGGCGAAGGAGAGGGCTGGCGCACCTCAGGTCGGCTGTTTCAGCCCAACCTCTCCCCTTCCTCCCGCAGTAAACGTTTGCGCTCCCTTCCTCGGCTACTAAAAGCTGTGGGCTGAAGAGCTACAGAGTTTAGGCACTAAATAGTAGAGTTTAATTATAAACATTTCAGCTAACCAGGCTGGTGCTAAGCCAATCTGTTTCTGGGGGAAACACGAGTTTGAAGTCTTCTCTCCAGTCAGCTGCCATTTAAGCTGAGCCAATTATCTTAGCCTTTTGACTCAGATGTGCCTGACCTAACCTGAATGTAGTTTTACTGCTGCTTTGAAATATCAGACTCATGCGCATATGCATTCACTCCCATCTTCATTTGGCAACGGCTCTGAAACAAGCCTCTGATCTTGCCAACATCAAAAGCCTGGTTTGTAAGATAAGGTAATATTTGAAGTTTGCTCAGCAGCATTCCCCTGTGTCCAAAGTAAATCCATAAATAAGATATAAGCAAATAAAAAAAAAAAATTCCCCTTTCCTCTTCCCCCCCCCAATCAAGAAATGGAAATATAAATTTGCATGATGCTTTGTGGCTATTACAAAATATATACACACAAGCTGAGCCCTAGCATTTATAAGAAGAAAAAGGGCAGATTGTACATTATTTGGAGACCTCTCATGACTCCAGTGCAGTTCAGATTTAGGTTTGTTTTTAAAAAAAAAAAAAAAAACCTCACTTCACTGCTCTGTCTGACAGACTTTCCAGAACAAGTTTTTCCTCTTCAGTTGATACCAATTTAAGCCAAAAGAACTAATTTGCATTTGCACGGAAGAAAGAGAAAAAAAATTGGGTCCTCTGCTAAAAGAGCGGTAGAAACTCGCAGGCAGAAGCGTACCCTGACACGGTCGGTGGAAGCACGGAGGAGACCTGGGCCCCAAAAGCGTTTCCAGGGCCTTCAGAAACCAGCGGGGTCAGGTTCCCGAAAAGGATGCTAATCCCAAACGTTTTATTGCAATCTTGGCAATCGCTCCTCGTTTCTGTGAAGGAAGTTTTACATCAGCCTTAACTTTAGCTGAGCCCTCAAGAACTGCCAATTCACCTCTCCCACTTTCAAAACACAAACACCCCGGGGCGGCCCGGCTCTCTCTCGGGAAGCCCAAAGCTGCGGGGGAACCGGCTCAGCTTGCAGCAGGAAACGCTCCTTTGCTAGGGCTGCAAAATGCAAACCTCCTGCGTGCCGCTGGACCC